TATAAATAAAATAAGATAGAATCCAGTAGTAATTTAGATGTGTATGTAAATTGAATATTATGATTTCTTCAGTACTGAATATTAATGTATTTTTAGTTTAATCTGCAGGACAATCTAGTTAAAGGTGCATTTTGTAAGAGTTGAATCTGACCATTGGATGTCTTTCTTTGGACATCAAATGTTATATAAATCTGTTATTAAGATATTTATTTACATGCCAAGCCAATAATCAACTCTCTAGATCATGGGATTGTTGTGATTTGCAACGGATTTAAATTTAATTTAAATACAAACGCCAGTTAATAATTTAATTTAAAAATGGATAATCGAGACGTTGTTTATTGTCGTAACAACTGTAACCGAGACTACACTAGCCTTTAAATAGCCATAACTTCGCTCAAAATGAAGTATACTCAGCCAAATTAAAAACTTGACACTGATGAATTTCAACAATTTTATTTTTCTGGTAAGTCAAATAAATTTTCAAGTGTTTCTAACGATAGTAAGTAGTAAGAAGCCTTCAATTTCATAAAATTGTAAAGTCACGTGGATCACGTGACTTGGGTATATAAAGATGAAAAACCTGAAAAACACGTGCAAACACAAACTCGTGAGGTCAATCGATGCACGTTTGCTTAAACTGAACACGCACACGCAACTTGAACTGGAAAAACAAATTAAAATTGTTATTTTCATCTTTGTTAGAAAATGCCGCGCCTTTCAAATGTAGAACGTCTACGTGCTATAGGTAGACTCTATGCTGGTCAGTCTGTGGTCACTGTTGCAAGAGCCTTTAATTGTTCACGCCAGACAATAATTAATCTTAGAATGAGAGTGCTTCAAACTGGAACTATTGCCGACCTCCCAAGGGCAGGAGCACCACGTGTGACGTCATTCCAGGAAGATCCAGTAGACGTGGTACAAGGGTTAATCAGCGAACTGGATGTATGAGATGTGTTGTTGACGTTTGGGAAAGTAGGACGAGGGGAAATGTGTAGGGAGTGAAGTGCTGTAAAGGGATAGTTAGATGTATTATGAATGGTTAGAGTGGCTGTGGTGTTACGGTGAAATACTATGCCGCCACCGTAACACCACAGCTTTATGATTTGTTAGACGGGAGTGATGTAATGGGTGTCAACAACTGGGTATGCTGGTACCGTCGCAACGTAGCCGTGAAATATATATTGTGGGGGGGAAGGGCGGAAACGGAAAAATATACAATGTTGACAGTATGTGCCAGGCATGAGGCTGCGCAGACCGAGCGGCAGCTCGATAGGGAGTGTGTGGGAGGGTCACCCTCATAAAAAAATTTTTTTTTAAATTTCAGTTTTCTGTAAGCAGTGAAAACACTATTTGGACATTGTTTGCGGGGTTAACCCTAAAAATCACATTAATACACCTATTGCACGATATTGTGAAACTAGCTGACGAAGACAGCTCGGGCGGCGATTGTTCGACTCGGGGCTGCTCTGTCAGTATCTAACAAACGCATTTAGTTGGCGTACAACTTTTAAAAACCGAATGTCAGTATGGTATTTCTCACATAATTGGTTATCGCAAAAACAGAGTAAACTGAAAGCGAGTAATCTCGACTCAAACCTATAGTCTATAGCCTACTTACGTTACTACACTCGTCATTAGGCTTCCTATATTATTGTTTGTGGACGGTTTACTACTCAGTGATAAGCCTGCGCCGCAAAAAGAGGTCTCGCCTTTTATTATTAGTATAATGACTTCCTCATGTGCGGCAGGTTAGTTTGCTTCTAAAAACACTGTTTTCCGTTCCAAAAAATACAAAAGTAATTTTCTACCAGATGACCATGGTTCTTTTCACCGAGACTAGATAATTTCTCTCGGTGTAAGGATATAGCTATGGATAAGTTCATACAAGGTCAATAAATCCGCGGTCACTTCGGGTCACACTGTTGAGAAAATAAACCGATGGGTTTGTTTAGTAGCAAATCGAGCGTGAATCAACTGAGTTTGTACTGAAAAATTTTTGAGTGATATGTATGAACTGTCTTCACACATTCAGTTTATAATTAGCGATACACAGGTACAGTGGCAAGTGTTGTACTTCACAGACTGTTTACCTCCGAACTACCTCCGCACGAAATCCCCGATTTGGGTACTTGTTAAAAGAAAAAGAAATAGTACCTGTGCGCATGCCAGTAAAAAAAAAAACTAAGAGTTCGCGCATAAAAATGCCCGAACGTACCAGGCGCCAGGTCATCAAGCAATACGGTTACGTCATTTTAGAAACAGATTTGTCACTGCAACCTCCACAAGTAGAGAGATGTTTGGTGGAAGGGTAACTGCACAAACTGTTCGAAATCACTTGCAGGCTGCTGTGGGCCACAAGACACAAGATTTACTCAAAGACAGTGGAATTCGGTTGTCTTTAGTGACGAATCTCGATTCACTTTGAGATTTGCCGATGGCAGCTTCCGAGTGTACCACAGACGAGGTGAACGTTACGCTCAAGTATGCGTCAGAGAAGTTGACCGATTTGGTGGCGGCAGCGTCATGGTTTGGGGTTCTTTTTGTGCACATGGACGTTCTCCTCTTGTTGTTGTCCAAGGGAACTTAAATGCTGTCCAGTACAGGGATCAGATTTTGCAACCTGTTCTTCTTCCGTTTATGCAGAGAAATGGGCCTGGACTAACGTTTCAACAAGACAATGCTCGACCCCATACAGCAATTGCTACCCAGAATTTTTTAAGAAATGCCGGTGTCCAAGTCCTGGATTGGCCGTCGCTTAGCCCCGACCTTAATCCTATAGAACACATCTGGGACGAACTGGGTCGACGTGTTCGTAAGCAAGTGAATCCACCACTGACGTTGCAGGACCTTCAACATGCTCTTGCTGAGCAGTGGCGACGTCTTCCTCGGGTAGTGTTTACTAATGTTCTGAGATCCATGAGAAGACGTTGTGTGGCAGTACGAGACGCTAGAGGAGGCCACAACCGTTACTAAACATTTTATTCCGATTGTTCTCCAAGTCTGTGAATTTCATTTTGGGGGGTACTGTGACATCACGAACGTTATCAATGTCAAGGACTTTCGGCGAGACGTATTCTTGCTTTCTGTTGATGTCAAGGTCGTTTGTGCACAACATAACACTAAAATAGTTGCCTTAAACCAAATATTAAAAATCTAGTCCAAAAAATCCCGAGTGTCAAGTTTTTAATTTGGCTGAGTATATTTGGACTGAAACGTACAATATATTCCCTTTTCATTATCTATGTTTTAACTATTACATAATGCATCTTTAATAAAGAGCCAGCGTTTTACTCTCTCGGTCACCGTGGCTCCTCATTTAAGAAATAATTGGTGGAAACATGCTGTAACATAGACACGTTTTGCTAAACAATTGCAGCATTGTCGTACGAGACAGGGACGGGGCGGGCGAAAGGGGAGTGGGGGTAGGGACAATCTGTTTGACTTTTCGGGCAGGTGGGGAAAAAATATGATATAATCTTGTTGGCAAATTAAAGTGCCCCAAGTCTTATAAGACACTAATTTTATGTTTGTGTACATTGAATAAGGTAGAATTGACCATGAATTAAAATATTTTGTCTGGAGCCACACTGCTCTGTGCGACATTTTTCGGACATAGATTATTATTTGTGAATGCAGCTCCAACAGTCTGATTGGAAGGTTGGAATTCAGGCGATATAGAGTGAGATCTCGGTTGCAAAACCATTGGACAACTTTCAAGTTGCTTGACTCAAGGTCTAAAAACGCATCTGTGGCGGTTAAATTTTCAAATTGTTCTCGGGGAGATCGGGTTCCCTATACCCCGCGGCGCCGCCGTGGACCAAACGATTGATTGGTTGTTTGTAATTCAGGTCAGCCACTAGTTTAAACATATTTTATTACTTTAAAGTAAACGGATCGGACAAACCTCTACAAAGGAGTCCTCTCCAATATAATTGTCGTAGGTGATCAGTAAAACAAGGTCAATAGATACATACGTGTCAGATATTAATAAACAATAAATTAACAAAACAAACATATTTACACAAGTTCAGTGTATTTAAAATATGGACTAGGGAGAATACCTCGGGATAACATACCTTACAGCAACGAAATATATGAAAGTGTGTAAGGTTTATTTGATGAGGTTCAAATATTAAATCAGTTTCATTTAAAAAGAAAAAAACTTTTTGCCGGCGTGTGTTTCCATTCTAGAAACTACACCCTTCTGTACTTGCTTAACTAAATAAATATTCTGAATTGTCGCCAATGTCTATGATAGTTAGACTATGTACATGTTGGACCAAATTGAAGTTGCTGTATTCACAGGCTTAAATAGCAGAAAACGCGTTTGCGAACGTCAAGTTTTCCAATCTCTCTTGGGGAGGCCCTTACACGTTAAGTTCCGAGATTTCAGCACTCGCTAACAACCGGCGATACCGTCTGTAAAAGGGAATTTTATCGGGCTTCTCAGGTCTTGTCCGTTATCATCAATCGGGACAGTACGTCTATGGATTGCAGGATAAGGGTACATTTTTAAATCTGTATATATTAAAAGAGAATGTCTTTTGTTTAGCGATTCACTATAGGAATCGAAACGGTTTAACTTTAAAAGTTCAAAATCATTTTATTATAACCAGCCTTTAACAAGCGATGAAATGATACTGTGTATTTCGTGCAGTATTTAATGCAATCTGATTAAAACAGAGATCCTATTTCGTTTCGTTTTACTTGTCTTTACTACACTAGGACCAGGAAAAGTTGTTATATAATGTGCGTTCTGGTTGATGTGAGTGATTAGCTAATGAAACGGTCTGTTGCGGCGAGTTTTTGCCGTTTGATGCACGGAACTGTGGGTTAACCACTAGAAACGTCAACGCTGATCGATTAATTAATGCCTGACGTCATAGGGTCAAAATCCGCTCGTATGACCTCTGACGCGACCTTCCACTACAACCGATCAGATCTTCGTGTAGTGTAGGCCATCGAAAGTATATAAAAAACGAAACGAAATATAGATCTGTATTTTGATCAGATTGTATTTAATGATGAAATTAATGATTAATGCTTAATTGTAAAATATATTATTTTCTTTTACTGGGATCTGATACAACAGCTTGGCGTATTTTACTGGGGTCTGACCCAACAGCTTGACGTATTTTACTGAACGTTGGGTTGGTGTGGATATAGCCTGTATTTGCTTTACCAGTTTTTCTAGTTTGTCTTATATTCGCCGGTCGGTTAACTGGGGTACCGGGAACGGCACCAGGAACGTTCGTTCTGGTAGACGGATAATATATCGGTTGGGTGTTGCTGTAAGTCGGCTGCTGGTACGTCTGGCCGTTGTAATAAACAGGGTAACTCGGATAACTAGCGACGGTACCAGTCGTATACGCAGGGTTATACGTAGCGACGGTGTTAGTCGGATAGGTGCCAGCATAAGTCGTGCCGACATAATACGGATTTGTGCCACCGGTTGTTGGATACGTGCCACTGGTGGTCGGATAGGTGCCAGCATACGTCGTGCCCACATAATACGGATTTGTACCACCGGTTGTTGGATACGTACCACCGGTGGTCGGATAGGTGCCAGCATAAGTCGTGCCGACATAATATGGATTTATACCGCCGGTTGTTGGATACGTGCCACCGGTGGTCGGATAGGTGCCAGCATAAGTCGTGCCGACATAATATGGATTTGTACCGCCGTAAGTTGGGTACGTGCCACCAGTCGTCGGATATGTTCCACCGTAAGTTGGGTATGTGCCACCAGTCGTTGGATATGTTCCACCGTAAGTCGGGTATGTGCCACCATAAGTCGGGTACGTTCCACCAGTTGTCAGATATGTGCCACCGTAAGTGGGGTACATTCCACCAGTCGTCGGATATGAGACACCGTAAGTTGGATATGTACCACCATAAGTTGGATACATGCCACCATATCCGCCTACCATACCTCCATATCCTGGCATCATTCCGCCATATCCGCCCCCGGAGCTTCTGCTGCTGCCTCCATAACCGCCACCTGACTGCGTCCCACCGCTCCCACCTCCATAATTTATCATATTAATAGTACCATGTCCATAGCCACCAGAGTCCGTGCTGTCACCACCATCATAATCTCCACCACCGTGGCTGTTTCCGCCGTAATCCCTACCGTCGTAATCACCGCCATCATTTTCCTCAGAACCGTCTTCTTCATCCCAACCACCATCATCGCCTTCATCATAATCGCCATAATTACTCTCATAGCCGTCATCTTCGAATGATTCCGGACTGTATAAACGTTTTACTCGTTTATTAGCATGTTGTTTGGTCTCGCAAATGATAACGAGTAGGGCTGAAATATAAAAAGGTGAATATAGCACAAAATGTACTGAAAAGATAATTATACAATACCAATGTCGGCTCCTAGAAAAGCATGTACGGTAAAAATTATATCAGAGCCTTAGTGTCCAACGAAATATCTATCCCTGGGTTCCATATTGACATTTCGTGTGCCGCATCTAAAAATCTAGTATATTCAATTATGTAATGGGGACGGGGCTTTTGCGGGTTGTGCATCCAATCAAATTTTAATTTTTAAAAAACAAAGAAATCATCGCCGTTAGCTTTGGTCCAGCGCACCAAAAGTACATTCTCCGGCGTGTTTTCCCATTGTCAGTGGCCTGACAGGTACAGCTGTCTAGTCTTTCGTATGGAATGGAATACCAAGGTCCCGTGTACACATTGACGTGTACGTAAAAGGTCCCTTGACAGTCGGAATTCGATATAAGAGTAGGCCACAGTGCCGATGCGATGGCAAAATTTCCCTCATGGCACACTGTAAGGCGTACGCCCGTCTTTATTAGCCCAGTCGGAGTAGAACAGTCGTACGTTAAATACCTCCAGACTAGCGAACGAGCGTCTTAGCCACCGTGGCTTGCATCCAAAGTAAACACAAGGTAACATAGTTTAAGCCTCTTAGTTATATTTAAGGGATTATTAAGTCGAATTGCCAAAAGGAAAAACCGAATACGGCCGAAACAAACGTAAACGCAAACGTCCAAAATCCACCAAAACGGTTGTCCAAATTTATCTAAATATATTTCACAGGATTCGAATTAAATAAAACATATATAATCCATCGTTTTGATTTTTTTATGGACGTTATGACCAATCTGTTTGACTACTTTTTCGGCCGTTTTGGTTTAACGCCGTTTCGTCTAATCATCTTTAAGTTTCGTTAAATTTATTTATTTGACTCTTCTATTTTATATCCAAGCGCCGGATATTGTCTAGCTTTGAAATCTTGATCATCCGTCGAAAATTATGCAAATGGCGATCAGTAGCTTCAATAAACGTAGTCAATTTGAGTATATTTCTGACTGGATATAAGCCAGGGCAATTTAATATTTTCCCAAGAATTCCAATAATATATTGAAAATTAAACACTCACGTATTACAACCACAAGACAAACTATCTGCCGTGATGACACCATCGTCAATATTTTTAATTATGTCTTCAAAAATATCTACCTTTTTAAATATACCCACTCGAGATTGTGCGCGTACATAAAAACATGGCGGATATTTCCGGTCACTATATAATCCCAGTAGACATTGTATTCAATGATTCGATAATACAATGCCCCCACCAACAAGGAAATTTTACATTTGAAGACACTACTACAAGTGTCTCTTTCTTTTCTCCTAATTTGTTAAATGTCAAATTAATCAAAACGTGATTACTGCAAATTTCTCGAATTTTTGAACAATGTATCGTTTATTTAACATGGACAATTTATGTCACCGATTCTCTATTTTGTTTTTATTTGTGCTTTTTAGGGGTCATTATGAGCAGAATGCTTTACAAATTATTTATCTGCTAATATCTCCCAAATCAAAACTAACGCAGTTATATGAGCCAACAACCAGTGGTTTATGTTTATTATAATTAGGTACGACGTTTCGATATGTATCTTTATCGTTACCAATAATAAAACTGGTCATTGTTGTTCTATAAAACTGGGTTAGGTTTGTTTTATTTCCAATCGGTAAATACCATTAAAGGATTATCACCATGTTAGAAATCTGTGGAATAAATAGCACTGTTTAGAGCTGGTCTTTGTTGATTTTATGATACTGACAAGGTAAGGCAGTTTACAGGGTTGGACGACTGGAGGATAAGTCAGTTTACAGGTTTCTACAACTGGAAGGTAAGTCAGTTTACAGATTTGAACAACTGGAAGGTAAGCCAGTTTACAGGGTTGGACGACTGGAAGGTAAATCAGTTTACAGGTATGAACAACTGGAAGGTCAGGGTTGACTGACTGGAAAGTAAGTCAGTCGACAGAGTTGAACGACTGGAGGATAAGCCAGTCTCCCGAGTTGAACGACTGGAAGGTAATTCAGTTTACAGATTTGAACAACTGGAAGAAAGGTCAGTTTACAGGTTTGAACAACTACAAAGGGAGGTAAGTCAGTGGAGTGGATACTGTATCACAAATTTGCAGATGGGGGCGGGCTGGATCTGTCCCATCAAACCACAGTTTCCGCTCCAATATGCGCCAACCCTGACAGTTCCCGGACCATGCGAGAATAATGAAGACGAACATACGCTATACCGTATGGTATGAGGAAACCTATCAGTGGCACTACGGCATACTCCTAATTTTAATATGATTCGTATAGTACAATTAAACCATGGCAGAATTAAAATGTTTCTTTAACTATATGACAGAGGTTAATCCTACAAAAGATTAAACATATTCTCTGGTTTCATGTAGGTAGCTGAACTTGTCGCCAAAGAAACATACAATGTGCAATTATCAGTTAAAACCAAAACTTGTGACCACGCCAGATGTCAAACATGCAAAATCATAAACATATCCGACCCCTTCCATAACAAAACATCTGGCACACAATTCCCAATATTAGACCAACTTTCGTGCAGCAGTTCAAACATAATTTATTTAATTTCTTGTAGACAATGTGACATAAAAATACGTAGAAGAGACCCAAAATGCACTTAGGGAAAGATGTAACGGTCACCTGTCAGACAAACCGATCGCAAATCACTTCAACCAACCAAATCATGACGTTACTGATCTCATTGTCACGCTGATTGAAACGACTAAGGGCGACTTTGAAACTCCAGAAGAAATTAAAACGTTTAGGCTATAACAAGAGAAAAATTCTGGATTGACAAATTGAAAGCAATGGACTCCCTAGGTTTGATTATGTAACGTTTCCTTGAAGGGAAAACGACGTTTGGGGTATGGGGAGTTTGGTATCTCTGCCACCAGTGATCAATTCCTGGCTGATCACGAGCCACCGGGAAACGGAACTTCGGAAGGGTGTGTAAGGACCAGCTAAAAAGTGGTCAGTAACGGTGTTTTGCTAAAATTATAATAAGCTTCACCGTAGGAATAAAACAGACTCGTTCAGTTTTCAAACCTTTATGTAACAAAAAAACCTTTCAAAATATATTTATATCAGTATTTACAGCTTAAATACGTTTATTTCTATTAATTACTGTCCTTTTTCGGGTGAACAGCGTTCACCCTACTCTGTAAGTGTCTTTCCTATTTCGGGCGAATAGCATTCACCGTACTTGTTCTTGAATCTGTCAGTGTCTTTCCTTTTTCGGGCGAATAGCATTCGCCGTACTTTTCTTCAATCCGCAACTTGTCTTTTTCGGGCAATCCTAGTTTGCCGTACTCGCTGAAAGAGAAAGAAGCTTTAAAGGAGCTTCTGTGCCATCGGAACGTAGCTTGTCAATATCAGCGAGTTCTTCGCTGACCTTCGACCGCAGTCCCAGAGACCACCCTCCCGTGCTAATTCCAGCCATCTAGACGTATCTATAAGAGACATTTATTCCTACTGGCGATTCACAAATATTGCATGAAGAAATTCAAATCATAAGAACATAAACTTGACTAATAAACAGTATCATATTGATTATAAAAGTACAATGTATATATTGGTTACACTATATATGTCACAAAACACCAATCATTAGATAATAATAATTATTTACTAATTATATAAATCACTTTAGGAGGTAGGAGTTGTCCGTTGTTCAATTTAACAGTTATATAATTACCCTGGTTATAAAGGTACGAACAATTAAGGTATTTAAACAAATGATTACGAAAGAACATAACACTATAGATTTCTATGATAGGACATATAATACATGTTTAATATATATATAAATGACAATGTCCTACGCTAACAAATAATGAAATATGATAGTATCAGTAAATATAAAAAAACAAAGTAGTCGCGATCAATCCTGGCTCTTGACTGCTTCAATTATACATACGGCTAGCGTAATAGCCCCCTTTGTAGTCCGATTTAGCGCAACAGCAGCAAGTGCATCCAAAATCATAAGAAAACATTATACTGATCTCCAGGAAAATCACCCGAAAATCGTCACAAATAAACTTACAATTGCATATTCGAAAAATAGAAATCTGAACGACATCCTAGAGCACAGTAAATTAGATTAAATAAGACTAGTCTCCACTCAAACCCAAAGCAAACCATATATTAAGTCCTATCCCTAACCGTTAGTAAATAAAATCAACTAGATAGAAGAATCCCTAACCCTAACCCGGTGATGGTGAACAAACACGATTTTTTTAGAAAATCCAATCCGTAGTAAGAAACACACTAATGTGGCTCTCTCCCGAGAGCCTCAAATTTATTCTTTTTTCTTCAGAACCCCCCCCCCCAGAATACCAGAAGCACCATCCAAGGAAGACCATCAGCGCCACCAACACCAAAAATCAGTGAAATCGCCTTTGTATATAAATCTATTGTATTGTATGTATTTTTAATAAAGCTAGGAATTATCACGAACTAATTTTTCATCATCCTAGGTCAGTGCTTATGTGGAGACTTAACCTCTCCCCCAAATTCGTAAGAGAGAGAGAGAAAGAGAGAAATGGGGTTTAACGTCCACTCGGCACAAAATAGGTCATTTCGCGACTAACACATGGTTTAATTTTATTTCAATTATTCGCTTGTGCGTAGGGGTCTTTAGCAGTGGGAGGAAACCGGAGGACCCGGAGAAAACCCACGAGGCTGGACAGGCTAACCTACTCTTTGTCACGTACAACCGGGGGTTCGAAACCACGCCAGTCGACTCAATGACAGACTTTATGATAAAGCGCGCACGCTAACCAATCAGCCATCCCCCCCCCCCCCACACACACACACACACACACACAAATTCTTAAACCTAACCCAAACCGGATAGAGAATACCTAACCCAAGGATAGTGGAACCAAAACATTGTTAGAAGATCCAATCCCTAGCGAGAAACACGCCGAGAGCGTCAAATTCATTCTTCAGAAACAAAAGTACCACAAGATCACAAGCTCCACCTAACCTAAGGAAGGCCATCAACGTCATCAACACAAAAAAAAACGGCAACCAGATTCACGAATCAACTTTCTGTATAAATTTAATGTATATTTTGTGTTTTATAAAACTAAGAAATACACCGAACTTAAATCTAACAAAGATTAGCTCGTAGTTACAGTTAGGTTATTCCTAACAAAGATTAGCTCGTAGTTACAGTTAGGTTATTCCTAACAAAGATTAGCTCGTAGTTACAGTTAGGTTATTCCTAACAAAGATTAACTCGTAGTTACAGTTAGGTTATTCCTAACAAAGATTAGCTCGTGGTTACAGTTAGGTTATTCCTAACAAAGATTAACTCGTAGTTACAGTTAGGTTATTCCTAACAAAGATTAGCTCGTGGTTACAGTTAGGTTATTCCTAACAAAGATTAACTCGTAGTTACAGTTAGGTTATTCCTAACAAAGATTAGCTCGTGGTTACAGTTAGGTTATTCCTAACAAAGATTAACTCGTAGTTACAGTTAGGTTATTCCTAACAAAGATTAGCTCGTGGTTACAGTTAGGTTATTCCTAACAAAGATTAACTCGTGGTTACAGTTAGGTTATTCCTAACACAGATTAGCTCGGAGTTACAGTTAGGTTATTCCTAACAAAGATTAGCTCATAGTTACAGTTAGGTTATTCCTAACAAAGATTAACTCGTGGTTAGGGTTAGGATTATCCTAATAAAGATTAGCTCGTGATTAGAGTTAGGTTAATCCTAATAAAGATTAGCTCGTAATTGGGTCACTTGTAAAGTGACCCCCCACCCCCGCCACCCCCTCAGAATATTATGAAAACATATTTGTTGTAGTACATAAAAATTCATGTATATACATAACTGCAAAGTTATATGACTCTACAATTCATGTTGAGGAGATTGTCTTTTTTATTAGGGTATCATTCTTTGTCTTTTTTATTAGGGTATCATTCTTTTTGCAAGTTTTGAGACTACTATTCTATGACGCGATTTTGGTGTGCTGATTTTATATCTTCTAGTTAGATAATATTTGATCAGTAAATTATGATTTTGTCCGGTTTGAATGTATTGATTATAATACTTCTAATTGCCTGATCATCATGGAAAAAACCTTCCAAGAACATTATATTTGTTTTTCATAATTTACTGAGGGGGGGGGGGGGCACTTCACAACATTTTTAGAATTTGGTCCACTTGACATGAAATAACTTAGTTAGGGTGGGTTAGCTGGTAGTTAGAGTTATGTTAATCCTAACAAAGATTAGCTCTGTCTGTCTGTCCG